CTATTATAATAGATTAACAATAAAATCCTATAACAAAAAATTAGATTTTTGATATTATATCCCCAAAATATTAATCAAAGAGAAAAGAATCTTAAAGTAAATATTACTTATATTATTATTATATCGCTTTTCTGTATCTATTAGTATATCAACCTTATCTTTATCAACCTATCCTTCCCCCTCTTCAGAAATATTGTTGACAGATTAATCCTCTAGTAATTCAATGGTGGTATTTTATTATCTTTTATAAAATCAATCAATATCCTTATTCTTTTATTAAGATTTTCTAGGGGAGCCTACTTGATTATCAAATTCTTTTATATAAACCTTTTGATTCAAATTCAATATTTTCGAAATAGGTAAAAAATCTTTTATAATGTTTAAATCCCAATAACTAAATATAGATAAAACTTTAAAAATAAAAAGTGAGATCTTTTGCTTAAAAAACTTCTAAGGAGTTTTGCGGATAAAAGAAGGGGGAATAAGGGAAGTGAAATAATGAGATATAAATGGCAGATTAATAATAGTATTATGATATATTAAATATAAAGTATTATAAATATTATTTAAAATTTTGAAAAAAATAATGATATACTACAAAATTCTTAAAGTTTAATAAAGAATCTGGATATCCTTATTATTCTCCTTATTATTTTTATCAATATAAAACTCATTCTCGCTAAATTCGAAAAAGGAAAAAGATTCTTTGAAGAATTGAATCCTATATCATTTATGCTTTGCATAATCCTTAAAAGTAAATACATCTAATATTTTGATAGTGGATTAATAGTAAATATAACCTTTTAAATCAGCTATCATATATAATACACCAAATTGAGAAGCTACAAATAAAGCAATTAATTATACAAACACTATAAGAAATACTAATTTAAAAACTGGATTTGATAATAGCAATATGTTTATAAAAATCATATAGTTGTAAGTAATAAAAGCTACAAATTCACCTTTATAATTAAAATCGGCTATGGAAATAAACTTTGTAATAGAATTCGGTATAATAATATTCAAGAAAGACAAGGTATTCTATATATTCAATAAATTAGTTTTATAAATCCAATATTTAAACAAAGGGGAATTAATTATAAATCAATAAGAATTCATAAAGTATTTTATTAAATTACTAAATCAATCTAATTTATTCATCATTAAAAAATCTAATTCTTTTATTAATTAGGGTTTATAAATATCCTTATATTTAATCTCTTTTCACAAAAAAACCTTCATACTCTTTATATATTATTCTCCTCATTGGATTATAATTATATTATCTGTAGCTTTTTTTATATTATAAATCAAAATATTATTATAATAAGTATATATTTGATATATAAAATTAATATCAAGAATATATTAGGGAGGTACTAGGATATAGATTTTCTTTTAATAATGGTAATAGCTATAAAAAGTATGAGAACTATTATCGAAATAATAAAAATTATTAAAAGAAATATTAGTAATATATTTGAAGTAACAAAAGCAAATGGGAATAATTAACTCTGCCGAGCTGGTGGCTAAATACGATATAATAAATATAATATCACCAGATTGAAAAACAGTTATTATAGAATAAATAAAAGCTAAAAAAGATTATATTATTTAAACAAATATATTTTCTAAAAAAAAGAGACTTTTTTTATAAAGAAATATAATAATCTATTAATAAAATGGTGAAATGCGTAAAGACTATTTATTATATATATTGAATTATTTATAGCATATAGAAATATTGGAATTTTCTTTTGGGAATGTGATAAAGATATAAATACATTGTGATGCAATTACACACCGTCCAGGCAGTCTTAGAAAGTAAATAATTATTTTTTGGGATATAAAGTATAAAAAAGGAGAGTTCTATTATAATCATGAACTAAAGAACTTTATTAGATATGTGATAATAAGTTTTCAGGCTTATCATATACTGAAGGGAATCTGTATATATATATAAATTGTATAATTTTCATAAATTTAGAAGAATTAATGAAAAGTCTTGGTACTACATCTCACCTAGTTGATTCATTGCTAGTATCTACTCTAACAATTTCTTATACAAAAAGGTAATAGTAAGAATTTTATATAGAATCTAGTGTATCACGATTATATACTAGAGTATCTTATAGAGATTAAATAACTAGAATAAGAAAGTTAAAGAGGAAAGAGATTCTTAGGGGATCTCTTTATCTCTTATATAGTAACAATCGTCTTAGTTCAAGCTAGTCTTGAACTAAGATGTCACGTGATATTCATCACATAGTATGGGTTTAAGATATATAATATTAATAACTAAATATATTCTTATAAATTTGAGTAATTTAATTTGATAAATTAAATATTCAATTTTTTTTAATATTTTGAATAAATTTGCGAGTTATTATTTAATCTTTATATTTCTATTTATAATATTAGTATTAAAAGCTAAGATATTGGCCCAGGATTAGCTAATCTAAGCTAAGCTAATTTAGTAACTACACGTGATAAAAGTATAACAGGAAGAGATTCAATTAAAAAAGTCTAATTGGATCGCTTGGCAGCTTTCTTGCTAGCTCAAGCCACTCGCACATCGCTCTCGCACTCGTACACCTCTCGCAACTCTCTCGCACTTCTCGTATACGACTTCGCTCTCAATCTCACAACCTCATTCCATCAAACCGCAGCCCCAACAACACGGAGAATCTGACCTTGGCTCCACGGTAACTTCCTTCGGCCTATCAATCACTGGCCATCTTGTTATTTCCGCCATATCTTCATTGCGCCTGTAAAAATAACTGATAGCTGACAAAAGGCTCATAAGGCTTCGGTATTACGGAATATTCTCCCATCGTCGTGTCCGGACTTCTCTCGTTCCTTTGGCCACTCCACGGGTCTTGCAAACACGATAAGATAAGATCTCGTGAAAATTGGATCATGCAAGGGACGTCTCGTAAACCGCATCGAAAAGTCCGAACTGGCTGTCGCGTTTGCAAAAGTAGGAAAATTAAGGTGCGGCTACTGATGTTTTCTTTGCATGGGGAATGCATGATTAATGATTTCTACTTTAGTGCGATGAAAATAAGCCGTCATGTAAGACACTCAAGATAATGTGTTTAGTAGTCCGGATTGCAGTCTCTTCTTGAAAATTTTCAAGACATGTTGAATTGATCATGCCTCATTTGATTATATCTTGGGAGATGATAACAAAACTTAAAATTTTCTTGGGTTGGATTGCAATCTAGAATGTTGAGCTCACGATGACTGGTCTTTTCGAATTCTAACAACCACGTAGGCAACAATTGCATCAGGCATTCCGTACAATGCGATATTATGATCACAAGTGCGGCAGTCACACCTGCTGTATCGGTCCCGTCGCCTAGCCCTAGCTTCAATGGCGCCGGTATTCCCATGAATACGTTCAGCCCTATGAGTACTACTGGGTCATCAGTTTCTACCCACCAAATGCCATTACCTTCCATTTCTATGCTCGACAGTCAAGCACCAAACTTTACTCTCCTCGACATGGAACTACTTCATCATTATACAATGTCTACGTCAATGACTTTGGCTTCGTGTCCTTCGATAAAAACATTATGGCGAATCAACGTTCCGCAGCTTTCATACTCTCATGAATTTTTGATGCGAAGTCTTATGGCACTTGCGGCCCTGCATATTGCTTATTATAAACCAGAGAAAAGAGATCTTTACGTCGCGAGAGCTGTGTTTCATCATCAAAAGGCATTAAACGATGCAATTCCCATGATGAGTGACATCAACGATGAAAATTGTACTCCCCTATATGTATTCACTTCCCTCATCTTAATGTACTCGATAGCAAGTCCTCGCAAACATTTGGATCTCTTGATTGTCGACGACGATGATGTATCGGATTGGGTTACTCTTTTGAGAGGAGTCAGAGCCTTGACAGATCATGCCCCAGATTTAATTTACAGTGGAAGTCTAAAACCTATTTTTACGGCTGGAGGGAGACGTGATCAATTGAGAAATGATCAGGCTACCCCCCCAAACGAAGATCTCATTCATCTAGCCAAATTTCTATCTGAATCAACGACTGATCCACAGGATTTGGAAGCATATATTCAAAGCATAGATGAGCTCCAGAAGTCTTTCATCGTTCTTGCAAATAGGGATCGTCATAGTTTCGAGGCGACTGATGTGTTTATATGGCCGTATCGAGTACACGATCATTATCTAGTACTTCTTCGACAAAGGAATGCGGGGGCTCTCACAATTTTTGCATATTTTGCCGTATTGTTGAAGTATCTGGATGCAAACTGGTGGATAAACGGCTGGTCGCAGTATCTGATTGCTCAAATTTGGGGTTTATTGGACAATGAACATCGGCTGTGGATTAGAGGACCTATTGAAGAAATTGGATGGGTTCCTTGATAGTTATTCAAGATTGATATGGAGCTTGTACGATTGGAGATGGTTCTGACTTTATCAAATACTGCTAGTCAACAGTTTTGACACCAGATCAAGAGAGGAGAAATGGACGATTGCAGTTTGCGGTACATGCCATGTATTGTGATGGCGACCACGAATTTGCGGAATCACCGTTACACCGCTCCCTCTGTTGGTGATGACTATCGCATAATTTGCGAGTTGAGATCACGAGGCTTCGAAAATTGTCTATAAAACCATTCGTTCACAAGATTCATGGCAGACATCCCAGTGGAGGAATTTTTATCCTCTTGGAGGAGCATTTTCAGACACTCAGTTGCAAATTCGAACAGATACAGGGGCTCTAGATACCTTTCTCAAGGGAAATACTTTATACGAGCCTTCGTGAGTGGGTTTACAAATTACTTTCAGTATCTAGGTCGCAAGTTTAGCCCGCAAGAATTTATAATTAATCATTTAATTTTCCTACTTCACCTTCCCTAGGTACTCAAACCAAACATAAAACAATTTTCCTCCTATTCCAATAAAAGAACAAAACAGCTTCCAACACATTCAACATCATTAACATCCTAATCAAGATCTTCTTATCAAAGCTTCAATTCGTCATTGTCGGCCATGCATTCTCCAGAATGACATATCAATCCATGACAGCATTTATCATGTTGCATCATACATGATTCTACTCTCACATTAACGTTCCCGTCTCACAGAGATAGAAAAAAAAAAGGTTACTCACCTCCTTGCGGTAAACAATATTTCTTCTCGATTTTCTCAACAAACCCATGGAACATCCCTTTCAATGCGTATAGACGAGAGTGTTCTTCCTGATCGTCGGGTGTCATACAATATGACACACCCGATTTCGAGATACCTGTACAACTTTGACCTCCGCAGCAGCTATTATGCTGATCTTTTTTACATGGACCTTTTTCGTGTCAGGTCTACTATTGTATGAGGAGAAATGGGGGTTCTTACATCCAAAGGGTGAGCACCCAGTGGGCTCTTGTGGTGCGCAATTTTCGGTCATCAATTCGTTCTCCTTCTTTGACATGGCAGGTTTCTTCGAGGAAGTGATTTCGGTATTTTCATTCGAATCGGACATAGAAACACAGAAGGAATCATGATGAGAATCTACGTATGCGCATTGGAAATCCGGACAGCATGGAGCAGGTGGACACTTGGAATTTTGTCTGTGGCGATGACACATACCTGTATCATTGAATTAGCTCTTTTCCACAAATTGGACTTAAAATGGGGGCGGGGACGTACGGCCTCCTTCAACACACATATTTCTGTCACAATCTTCTTCAAAGATATTTTTGTCTTTTGATGAGAAGAGTGGTTGTTGATCTTGGGAAGAAGAAGTTGAAACGTCGTCATCATCAGAGCCCTTTGCACACATAAAGTTTTCACCTCTGACATTCTTACAACTCGATCCAGGGCAACATTCCATGCCGGATATGTTGCAGTGGTGTGCTATCGAGGTATCAGTTACTATTCTAAGATGAATGTGATTTGAAAGAGTACAACATACCTCCAGGGGCCAAACACTGTTTCTTATCGTCGTCATCAGACTCCTTTTCGCACATAAACATATTACTGTCAGACTTTCCAATCTTGTTGCATTTTGATCCGCTGCAACATTTTGGGGAGCCAAGGTAATTGCAATGCATTGCTAGCGAAGAATAAGTATTGATGCAGATAGTGAGGAGGGGTACCCATACAACCAGGTTTCAAACACTTATCATCACCGTCTTGATCCTTATCGTCGGATTCTTTTTCGCACATAAACATTTGGCTATCGGATCTTCCAACCTTGTTACATTTTGCTCCGGAGCAACAGGGTGGTGCGCCTAGCAAATTACAATGCATGGCTTGATGGTCTTCAGTAATGAACTGCAATATAGCAAAGGAGTGGAAAAAAACATACCGCCCGATTTTAAACATTTTTCCGCATCTCCGATTTTTTTGAATGGATTCTTCGACTCGTGCGAAGGTTTACATTTTCCGTAATCGCCATTGGGGTTATTGGTCATATCACAATAGAGACCGAAACAGCAATTGATGTCGGATTTTGGATGACACACATCTGGAATATATGGTGAGTTCTATGGATAGAAATTTAGAATCGGAATTCTTACCATCAGACATGGAACACATGCATTTCTCATCCTTCTTACGATCATCCGACGCGCGACAAATACCATAATCCCCATTGGGATTGTCCATCATTTCGCAGGAGAATCCATTGCAGCAGTTGATATAGGATGCTTTATGGCAGACGGCTGGATTTGTTAGTTTGATTTTATCTAGGAGTGTATAGGTATGGGAGGAGTAACATACATCCCATAGCAGAACATTGGCAACCCTCTTCAAATTCATTCAATCCACGATCGAGAGCTGCAGATCTCGGAGCCGCAAGCGCAGAGATCGTAGAAGAGAGCGAAAGAATCGCGAGGATAATACTGGGTGTACGCATGGTTACTAATACGCAATTGATGATGTGATATTGGTAAAAGTGATGCAATACTTCGTATTGTTTTGGGGATAGTAGCAAGGAAATTGGAAGATATATGTTAAGACGGGGAATGTGGAATTGAGATACGTGGTTTCTGAGGTAATGGGGAGGTGAGGTGAGGAGTGTACATTCCTGGAACTCTGACGATTACGCTCCATTTTTTGATGACGTGAAAAACGTGGGTTGGTACCGGTATGATGGTTGTACCCAGAGCTATCTTGGGATAATTAGATCTATAAATAACCAGCGCATACTGTCGTTCCATCTTTGGAAAGTAAGTATATTGGATCATGGGTGAAGAGAGAGTTCATACAAAGGAACCTGGTGTTCCATCTCTCGAGTTAGCCAGCCCAGAAATTGAAAATTCTCTCTTCTGTAATCTTTCGATCTCTCGAGTTCAAAGAGAGATCTCATGGGATGCAAACTCATCTATTCCTGTCAGAACGCTCTATCACATGTAGGGGACATTAGCAAGTACGGAGATTTCTTCATGTATAAGTTCTTATAAAGATTACATAGAATCTCACAAAACGTAGTTAAGGCTATTCTAAACAGAAGTGCGATCTGCTGGTCTGTTGCGTACAAGGCTTAATCAAAGGTCTCCTGAAGCTTCGACTAATGGAATACTTGTTTGCTTCCTCGTGTCGGCGGAGAAGCATACAAGAAGGCAGCTACTTGCGCGGTAGTCTAATCTCCAGATACTCGCTGAAGTTGTGATGGATGGGCTTTCCATCATTACTATCCCGTCGACCGAAACTATTCGAGTTTTTACCAAAGAGTCCTTGATGCATGGGCACTTCAAGATGCACTGGCATTGAAAGGTATAGATTCACCGTTAATGTGAAATTATTTGCTATCCGTAATAATTACAAACGCTGGAGGGATTATGCATAAGCCTATGCAACAAGCTAAGATATACTAGTACTATGGCACATACAATGCTGTGGTAATGAATCATCTACCATTTCTCTCATCGCCGCCATTAGAAGACTTGAAGCCCAACTCCTTTTCCGTTCCCATCCATGCAACCCATGATTCAACGCTAACCCAGCAAAACATAAACTTCAAATGTATGAACCACTTGTTGACTAGCTTTTTGACCGTAGACAAATGCAAATGTACCAATTGTGTCCATTCAAAGGACCATCCAGACTTCATTATGATTACCCATCCAAGTTCTCTCCATATGCAAAAGTATGTGGGCAGGCTACGGGAGATTCGATGGCGGTGAAATTGCTCAGGAAAACTGATGTCGACTAACTCCAAGAGTAAGTTCTTCAATTTGATCCTCAATCATGAATAGTTCCTTAAACCTCTTTTGTCTTTCTTTTGTTCTCTTCATATGTTGCCATTTCTTCTCTCTCCCCCTTTGCAATTGTCGACGCCTAGCGGAGTAATCTAGTAGTCTTGGGTCTCCCACAGTAACTTTTGCGAGGTCTGGATGATCACCAGCACATGAAGAGGCAACCCAGCTTGCATAAATCCGATTCATGTCCTTCAGACTGTTGGGATTATCCTTGATGAATTGATCCCAATACTGAATAAAGTTGATGGCGAGTGCGAGCAATCTGTGACCATCTTTTTCGTTTGCCTGAAAATCTTCCCAATCAAGCGGGTGAACCGTGATAATGTGTCCTTTACACTTAGATTTAATCCTAACCATCAACCGATTCTGTGCATTTAATACAGATGTGCGCGACAGCTTAAATGATGCTCCCGCTTTATAAGTGTACTGAGGATATTTTGTTTCCCAATTGGGCGGCAAGGAGACGCCAACTTCTCTCTGTAATGCCTGTCCATGAAGGTCTTGGGCTCTTCTGGACTTGGTTTTGCGTCGACGATCTTTGCGAGAAGCTTTGAAGCGTGGGTAGGGGATTTCCTCGTCCCATTTCAATTGGGGTTTTAAGGGTTTGCTGCTTTTCCCATGAGATACCTGCCTTGAGACTGATGTCTTGCACCCTTGACCCTTTCTTTGGGATTCGGTAGCCAATGTAACTTGCGCAGTGTTATCTGAATTTATAGGGTTGGAACGACCTTGTACGACGTTAGTTAAATGAGAAGAACTTTCCGTGAGGTTCTCGTTGGCGTTCATCATGGAAAATCGGATTTTTTTCGTAGTGGCTGAGGTAGGAGAGCAAGTTCAAAGAAGAATGTATGTATGATTGAGTAAACAATAAATAATGGTCCAAAAAGTACTGAAAATATTGAATTTGGGTTTTAGATTATGTATGCTGTTCTCAATGAGTTTAAAGGTGGTTTTCTTTGAAAGAGTGAAGGATTAAATATATCACTTCCTACAAACAAACTTCACGAGGGAGGAGCGTAGAACTTTTTACCACCTAGCGGTAAAAGCAAGGGCAAGTCTGATAGCAGAAGAGGACCAAATAGGAAACTCCACGAATCTTGAGGGGTTCCTAAGATAATTATACGATCCTTCCAAATGAGAATGAACAACCGAAAGATTCCCTGGTTTGACCTGTACTTCCGAATATCGGGAATCTTGTTCTTGTCAAGAGAGGGGCAATTCGAGTTCATAGTGACCAAAAATAAGGAAACTGCCAACATAAAAACCCTACCAAGTAACGTGTCCCTCAAAAAAAGATAATGATGAGCAAGAACTTCTTGAAAAGTGGTATTGCTATTTAGATGATAACGCAAAGAAAATGAAGACTATGGAGATAGTGATAATCTAGGTTTGGATGTGAAACTCAATAATTCCCCATGTGTTCCCTTAGAAAGGAGAAGAATAGAGCAGACGCAAAGCAACATGATCTGGAGATCAGGAAATCGCATAGCCGCCAGATAATCATTGACCACCACCTAAGCATGAGCTAGATTTCCGCATAAAGTCTGGCTATCTCACACGTTACCATTATTGTTGGCTAAGTTACAAATTTGTGTTCAATACTGGCATAATTTTGATATACCAATGTATAGATAGCAATTGGACCATTTGTAGCACAGCTAATGGACATGTACGAAACTTGCCCGATTCAGATGCCAGGCCGAAATAGCATCTTTGAGGAGTTGATAGCCACCCGGCAGCTCCAAGGTACTGACTTCATTTGAGAAAAAATCAAACGAAGATAAGTACAACTTGCTATGCTTTTAGTGGTTGTTGCGTATTACTTCCTGTCCAGAGATAGCCAGATATTTCCTTTTGTGATTTTGAGATCGAATGATTCTATTTTGCGTTGTTATCTTTTCTCTCGAAGCAGTCCAGAGCGGACATTGCTAATGTCAGTTCATGAGCTACGCACTTAGCACGTGCTTTAGCTTGTAGCTTGACTCCTACCTCACAGCGCGATATCTACTACAGTGTTAGCTCCTCCTCTCCTTGAATGTAAAAATAGACAAAATAGATAACATTAGCTAGCTATAGGCAGTACATGCGAGCACAATGCAGATCGCCTGACTACGTGTACATCAAAACACGTGATTCTCGAAACATCGAACGTCCGAGCGAGTAGCAAATATCACCACCGATTATGCATCTCGTCCCGCGTTTGTTTCTTCGCACCATCCCAAACCCTAGCAATCGCGTTTCGGATGGAATTTGACAGCCGTGAACTTTCAACGTACTGGGAAGTGCTCTATCTGGAATCTTCGCAGTTTGATGAGCAAATAACATCCGTTGAGGTACAGATTGTTAACAGGGACAGCCAGTTCTCTTCGGACATGAAGACGACGAGATGGTATCTGGAATTTGATGATGAGAAATCAAAATTGTCATGTTGAATAAGCAAAAGTTCAATCCACTAGTGGGTGTACAGACTCACGGGACAGTACAAAAATAAACTTGTGAATATCTTTTGATATATTGAATCATTTATTTTAGGAATTGTTACAATTCTTGAATAGAGATGAAACAATCAAAATACGAATTCTGATATCAAACAATTGAAGAATGAATTTATGAAAAATATTGAAAATTGGGAAGTGTCCCGTCAGTCCATGCACCCACTGGTGATCTTAATAAGATGCTTAACAACTCATATGAATTGGCGGTCAGCTAGGCAACTTTAGGGTGGTCTAGTTTTATTCAAAGCACTGAATTCTCCGAAGGGCTCAGATCCGCGGCGCTAAGACCTCTCATTGGTTGTTCACCTGCGGCTCGTTCACAGACTTCCTCAATATACCAAAATCCAAAATTAATTCACAAAGCACTGTTCTTTTAACTCTAGGTCGAATATGAGAAAGGTATATAGAGTCTCAGATCATAGGTGATCAATTTTATTCAATATTATAATACTTTCATCATTTCACTCTCAATTTTCAATACACTCCCATACCCCCTTCATTTCTATCCTCATACAAATCAGTTATTGTTTTCTGATATTTGAAACCAATTGAGACTACCACATCACGAGATAATGGCGAACCTTCTCAAGAACATTCTCATCCTAGGTGGATCATATGCTGGAGTCAGTACAGCACATAGAATACTAAAGCAATCAGCCAAAGCTGGACTAGCCATCAAGATCACCTTGGTTTCACCAAACACCCATGTATACTGGAATCTTGCAGCCACACGAGCAATTGTACCTGGAGGAATGCCAGATGAGAAAGTTTTCGCATCCATAGCTACAGGATTCAAGCAATACACTGCTGATAAATTCGAATTTGTTGTCGGTACCGCTGAGGGATTGGACGTAGAGAACAAAACAGTTGTTGTTTCGGGAGATAGTGGGAGATCGACTTTGAATTATGACATTCTTATTCTCGCCACAGGCTCAAGACCAAAAGAAGAATCACCCTTCAAGGGCAAGGGTTCATATCAAGAGTCACTTGACTTGTTACACGAATGGCAAGCTAAGGTCAAGGATGCATCTTCCATCTATGTAGCTGGAGCTGGAGCGACAGGTATGTGCTTTGTCGACGATCAACCACGAACCTCAATGCTCATATATTGAATTAGGTGTCGAAACGGCAGGCGAGTTAGGGTTTGCATATGGTTCTTCCAAACAGATCACTCTGGTAAGCACTTAAACGTAGATTAATTTAATTTCGAGCCTATTTACTAAGCCCCATTTCCAGATTGCAAGTGGCCCTGTTATACTTGAAGGCACTCCCGCAAGTGTCTCCAAAACAGCCACTAAACAACTTGAAAATCTCCAAGTCAAGATCAAGGTATCCACCAAGGTTTCCGGCACAGCAAAGACACCTGATGGAAAAACCGAAATCACTTTATCGAACGGCGAGAAAACCATTGTCGACTTGTATATTCCGACCATGGGTCTCATCCCAAACTCTTCATACATTCCAGAGAAACATCTCAACCCAGCCGGTTTTGCAATTGTGGACCAGTTCTTGAGATTGAAGGATGCTGAAAATGTGTGGGTCGTGGGTGATGTGTCGGCTGTTGAACGTCCACAATATGTGAATACCGACAAACAAAGCACTCATGTTGCAAAGAACATTGCATTGATATTGAAGAATTCCGAGCCATTAAGCTACAAGGTTGCGGATAAAAGTCAGTTGACCCCTTCCCCTCTCCAGCCCCCCTTTACTCTTATCTCTAATCGTGTAATTATCCTGGTAAACTAACTCAACTATAGATATGTTGGCAGTTCCAGTTGGCAAAAAGGTTGGCACAGGCCATATGGGGGGAATGAAATTCCCTAGCTTCGTAGTCAATATGGTGAAGGGGAAGACTTTATTCACTGAGAAGTTGACGCCTATGGTTAATGGATCTGCTTTTTAGAATGGTTGTATCGGCGTTCCTCTCGCAGAGGAGATGGGTTCTGAGGCGTTGTGGAAAATAGGAAAGGAAGATACCCTTTCTTTCTTCTTCCTAGTCATTAATATCTAATTACATTGTTCGTTCCGCTATGATATCATGGCTCTATGAATTAGTACTGCTGTGGCTCGAATGATAAGATCTATGGTGTGTTCAAATTTTAAGTCGCCCAGGCCGTATCCCCCAGCTTCCTTGAGGCTTATATATGCATGACACACTGGCAAAATCCTGCTTTAAAGGGGCTTGTAGAAATATTGAACGAACATGAATTTTCTTTAATTTAGTGGCAATGATACACGGCCTCGAGATGGCCAGGCTCTACTTATCGATAAAAACAACATCACGTGGTGTCTCTGATAGCCCCACTGTATTGGCCCAAATATTGCGTTTGGAGGATCTTAAATAGATGGTAATCTGAGCTGAGTCGCAACATACACAAATTTTGCAACACTTCAATCGCAAACCACATCCTTCAAGCTTATCATTAAAGCTTCCTGAGAGATCCTAGCATTGAGTAAGATATCATTTATTAACTGGTGCTGTCGGATACTCAAATTAGACAATCGTGCATATCTTCCATTCACGCATTACTCTACACCGTAGAACTATCCTTTGGATTACGCACATACACACACTGTCCGAATTTTCATCCGACGAGCGAGAATGTTGCCATCGAGCGATGCGCCCAAAATATCCATGAAAGGTTTCTCCTTGGGCGCAGGATCTAAAAATGGCTCGGTGAAAACAAATGGTAAGCCGCAGCCTCCTAAATCGGGTTTGGGAAAGCGGCCTAGAAGCACCTTTGCGCACGATGACGAAGATTCAGATAATTCAGACAATGGCACAAGCGCGAGGAGGATAAGGCATGAGGCCGTTACTGGGTTTGCGGATGGAGGCGTTATTAGAGAAGGAGATGAGAAGAGAGTGGCTGCGCCACTGGTTATTCCGAAACAAGAGAATAGGGATTGGAAGGGAGAAGCTAGAGAGAGGAAAGGAAGAGGGAGAAATTTGTTGCCAGAGGAGGAGCAGAGGAGGAGGGCTGGAGAAGAAAAAGAAGAAAAGGCAGACGTTGTGAATGGGAACGATGGGGAGATAAAATGGGGATTGACTGTGAAGACTCAAGTCAAGGAGGACTTGGTCGATAGCGAACGAACTATTGAACAGACTATACAAGTTGAGGAAGTGGAAGATAAGCCAAAGATAAAAACGGAAGATGAGCTGGCAATCGAGGCATTGATGGGGGTGGAGTCGAAACGAAATGGGCCAGACTTGATCATTGCTTCTGTTAATGAAAATGGAAATGATCTGGTCACAGAAGAAGATGCCTACAAGAGAGCTATTGCATCAGCACCGGATATTTCGACATTAGAAGATTATAATGCGGTACCGGTGGAAGAATTCGGTGCCGCGCTATTAAGAGGAATGGGATGGGATGGCAAAGAAAGAAAAGGCGGTGGAAAGGAGGTCAAGAGGAGGCAGAATCTATTAGGCTTAGGAGCCAAGGAGCTGAAAGACGCAGAGGAATTAGGGGCCTGGGTTCAGAAGGCCGATGCTAAAAGGTTACGACCTGGGGGGTCGTCTCATTCACATAGAAGTGATAGGGATAAGAAGAAAATGGGTGATTACGCTAGGGAGAGAGATGAGAGAAGTTATCGTAGAGATAGAGATGAGGGTCGTGACCGGGAAAGGGAAAGAGAAAGAGATCGCCATCATGATCGCGACAGGTCGTATAGGAGGGACAGAGATGATCACAGAGAGCGCAGGAGTCGATGAATCGTTTGGACGAAGTGCACGGAAGAACGAATATTTTTACATCATCGGCGCCACACAAAAATCGTATCTTGTAGTAGCCTATGGTAGGCGTCAAAGAATTAATATTGATCATCAATGACGCAATGTAAGGATGCATCATAGAACTGTGTTCCGACATTTGAGGGCAGCAGATTCGGGGACATCTCGATAAGCCTGTTCTGCCAATGTTACATATTGTTCTCCATCGAAAGATGACATATTACAATTTGCTACACCAATGACCTCTTCAAGAACTTGCGATCGGATATTAAATCTTACGTCCGTATCTGTCGGCAGTAAGCACGCATACTAGGTAATCCTTATGCTTATATTCCACTGGTGTATCCGAGATGGCACAGGAATAAGTACCGGATTGTCGTACAAAAAGTGTCTCCGGAATCAAGACGTGGACCGGAATTCCGTAATCGTATCATTTTCTCGAAAATCAAGGCAGTCGATCGAGACTTCTAGTAAGGGGATCTCAAGGATTCAAGATGGAGAATGGAATATTCTGTCTAACCTCATCCCATGCGAGGATGGTTGCACAAACAGCAAGAGACGGTTGGTAGTACCTTCCGTTTCTACTAAGTCTTTTTATCCGCCATGGTAGTTCTACAGGCTCATGCAGGGTGTTATTAGCCATTTTTGCGAACTCACATATCGATCAGCATCTCCGTTCCTTCAATCGTCACTAGCTCCGTTGACTATCGTACAAGTGTCTCGGGGCTGAGCGACACCACATGTTACATAAATACAGGGAAATTGACCCTTATTGATCTCTCTCTTACAGCTTCGAACCTCAAGCTTTGCAGTCAGTTTCATCGACCATGGACTATTCCACGGATACAATCGTGGGGTATTCTACCAAATCGGCAGTTATAGCTGTCTTGGGTTCTTATATCATCTATGCCATTGTCAACAGTCTAATACAATTACAGCGTCGTCGTAGTAAAGCTAGGAAGCTTGATTGCGAAAGTCCACCTGCCCAAAAGAATAATCTTCCTTTAGGTATCGATCAAGTGACTCGAGCTCTTAACTCTCTCGCGGCGAAGACTTTTCCTCTTGACACTCAAAAGAAATTCGAAGAAGTGAATGCTCTTACTTACAGCAATTCGATTCTCGGTAACGATGGCTTCGCAACTATTGACGAGAACAACATCAAAGCAATGCTAGGAACTCAATTTCCAGACTTCGATTTGGGTGCTCAAAGGATCGATAATTTCAAGGCATTCCTGGGGCCTGGTATATTCGCACAAGATGGAAAAGATTGGGAACGATCGAGGGCACTTATGAGGCCACAATTTGCAAGGGAAAATTTGAGTGATTTGGAAATGGAAGAAAGACATGTCCAGATCTTGCTGAAGGCTCTACCTGAAATTGAAAAAGATGGCTGGTCGGGCGAGATAGATATTCAACCGTTACTATTCCGATTCACATTAGATACGGCAACGGAATTTCTTTTGGGTCAGAGTGTTGATAGTCAACTTGCGGGAATACAAACTGCCCTTGGTATAAAGGGCGAGGAGACAGATGCCGACGCCTTTGCAAGAGAATTCGATATTGGCAACATGGGCTTGACAAAGAGGTCGAAATTTGCTCCCTATAGTGTGAGTACACTTCACTTCTTTGAATCTACATCTCCAACCCCTAGAGCGGGTTAAATGTTAATGTTTTGGATCCATTTTATTTCTCATGTAACCCAAACTATCTACCTGTCCTCATCCAAGCTCCCCTACGACAGCCTTACTGACTACCTCAAATTCTAGTGGCTGGTGTGGCCAAGTGGTTTCAGGAAGGCGATCAAAACTTGCCATCGAATCATTGATCGAATTATTGCCGAAAATCTCCAGAAGATGAAAGCAGCCAGAGAGGTCAGCGATCCAGACCGCTACGTCTTTTTCGAAGCCTTAGCAGAGCAAACCCGGGATCCAATAGAACTTCGTGTACAGGTTATGAACATCCTCCTCGCAGGTCGGGATACCACAGCATCTCTTCTTGGATTTACTATACTCAGACTAGCCCGAGATGCTGAACGCTACCGAAAATTGCGAGGGATAGTCCTAGAAGAATTCGGCACTTTCAATGAGCCGAAAAATATCACGTTTATGCATATCAAGAATTGTAAATATCTTCAGTGGGTTCTGAACGAAACTTTAAGATTGTATCCGCTAGTGCCATGGAACTTCAGAGTGGCGAATAAAGATACCACGTTGCCACATGGTGGTGGTAAGGATGGAAAGAGCAAAGTTTTTGTAAAAAAAGGTACAGTGGTGGAGTACAGTGTTTTTGCATTGCATAGACGAAAGGAGCTTTGGGGTCAGGATGCGGATGAGTTCAAACCGGAGAGATGGGAGGGAAGAAAGGGGGGTTGGGACTATTTACCGGTATGTTCATTATGTCGCTTTTTTCACTATCTTTTACCTCCTCTCCCTCTATCTTCCACTTCTGAAGCGACTTTGAGTTTCTCCGGACAATTAAACGCTCTATTAAGCTTGCAAAACCCCCTTGACAGGGATGAATCATCTTCAATCCTCCCTAAATCATGAGCCCACACTAACACAGGACTACAGTTTAATGGCGGCCCTCGCATCTGCCTAGGCCAACAATATGCACTCACAGAAACCGGTTTCTTCATCATTAGATTACTGCAGAAATTTGATCAGATGGAAAGTGTGGATAAGACGGACGTCACGTTTAATTTGACGTTGACGATGTGTAGTGGGAATGGGGTTAAAATTAAGTTGCATGAGGCTGGGATGTGAAGGCGGGGCTGTTGTTACGGGGAAGAGTGGGGATATAGATATCCAGCACGGAAAGAAAGGGGAAAGTGTAGCTACTGTTGATGCAGCAATTATTGATATCAAAATTGTAGGACTTTGAAGAGGGGTTGAAACTTTGGCAACTGTCTCTCAAATTTTATTAATATAGGGTATCTTTAGTTCAGCTGAGTGTAGGTTGATTTGTACACCATCTTATTATTGACACACTACTAGTACATCTGCAAACAGCCAATACTTTAAATTCGAAGTATATATTTCCCTATATCAAACATTAAGTGGATTAGACATACTCCGTTGACCATATAAATCAAGTGAAGCGTTAAACTGATCTCATTTAACATGGTGAAAGGAACCATTTTTTGATGAAATTGCCCTTGCAGCAGTGCAACCAATAATACAAATTTTTCCCGCCTTGAAAATTGTCATTATATAGTACAGTATAGTCAGAACACGGCGACTTCATCATTTTCATTAAATGAATCTAATCGTCCATTTTAAGCACCCATATTCTTAGCTGCATCGAATGCATGGCCCAATGATGTTTTATTTTCAACCTTACCCGCCCCAGGCCCATCCAACAACTTTCTAGCTCTCAACTCAAACGCTTCAATCATCTTCGGTGCTACCTGGGGCGCAACCGCCTTACTCAACGCTGTGTATAACGGATTCGCAAACTGAAACTCGATAACTAAGTTCACCTCCGTTTGTTCTCTCGCATCGTGTTCCGTCTTATCAGTTTGTGGTTGTCCACTCGGTGGTTTATAGTGGAAAGGTTTCAATGACCAGCGCGTATTGAGACTCTGGAATATACTGTTGGCAAAAGCGGATTTATGGTATGTTTCCGAATGATGGGGAACTTTGGATTCAGGAATCGAAGTTGCAGCATCCCCACCAAGTGCTTCGACGATAGTGCCGGGAACACAGAGAAGCTTGGAGGTAAAGGTTTCTTCCACGCCGGCCCAGCCGACGGTGAGATTTGCTTCAGCGGGCCATGTTTTGCCTGTGGAATCGGGTGCGGACCATTTTGTTACAACGGAGGAGGTGCAGTAGGGAACGAAGGTCGAGTAGCTGTCTACGTCGGCGATTAGACTGTAGAGGGATGAGGATTTATAGGGCAGAATTCGCTTTTCGGTCAGAATCTGCGGTTCGCTGCCAGGGAGGGTTATGAATGTTCGATTGGTTGAGGGGACAATTGTGCGAAAAGCGGATGTTGGACGTAGGGTGCGAAGCATGCCTCTTATTGGAGTCGACATTTTGATGTGAGGGTAATTGATATGGCTGCGGGGTAGGAGGAAAGCAATTGAGAGGATTATGGATGAATTGTTGATTTCAATTGAGGTTATATGATTTCGAACTTCATAATTTATCAATCGGCCACAAGAATTGAAGTAACCTGAAAAGTTGGGAGCTGATTTAGCTCTGGTAGTACTTAGGTCCTACGGCTTTGACGACCTCCAATTATCATAAGCGTCATTGAAAAATTCTGCCAGAATAAGTATTCACCGCCTTTCGCAATGTAGAATTGGAGTTAATGGATTGTCTTGTTTTCTTGTTTTTGGAGAGTAAACTCGAAGAACTTGTACATTTTATTTAATTGGATTTTTAAATGTTTACCTTCACATATCTCCCATAATTACCACATTCTCTAACCATGACTTCCCCTTCTTCCACTTCGAGCTCGTTCAATAATTCAATCGATAATGTAACAACGAAAAGTTACAGGATCGGATATACCATGTTGTGTGATACTGCTGTGTCGACTTATATTCCAGCACTTAGTTCTTGGACAACTTTCACTCCGGCAACATGTTCATATAATAGATCCCTCACTGCTGCTGCTTCTACGACTTTTTCATTGTCTATCACTGCCACAGGAATTACAACTCCATCGCCTCAAGAAACACCCTTTAGTGATGTATCCACCGTCACTGAATTCAGTAGTACCATGTCAACTACGACTGTCACCGGTAGTCTGAGTACAAGTTCCCAAACGAGCAATGCACCAAAAGAGACCTTTGGATTCGGAATGTCTGGCTTCACGAGTCTGGCTTGGATACTTTACTTCAGCTACAAATTCCTTCATCGATGAGTGAAAGGCGTGATATATTCCATACCGGTGAAGGATCTCATTCATCATCGACCATGACGTCAGTCGAGCGAAAACCAAATTCCCATTGAAGTCAACTTTTGAATATACAGAAGGATATCGATCAAGCAACCAATACATCAACGAGCGCATATAACTTCATTGTCGCATAACTTCTCAATATATTTGAGGCTCTCGTCGTACCTTCCCGCCGAGTTCACGGGATATTCGGATTACTTTCTTCCATGCCATCATATCATCTGATTGGAGCGGATAAACATGGATAAATCGTCGCGGGGTCAATGCCAGAGTGGGGTGATATGACAGACCCATTCAACAGCTTGAAACTACTCAAGTACACATCTCTTTTTCAACCCTTCAATTCACAAAACAAAAAGAACTGAAATTTGACAATTACCTGGTGTAATAATCCTCAGAAACAATGGCAGATATATCAGGAAAAAGCGTAAGAAATGCAAAATATCTCCCTCCGTTATCCAAAGCTTCTTTCTAACGTTCTCGTCTCTTGTAGAACAAATCATTCGTTCTCGAAAAGCCTTTCTCTGTTAAATTCGAAGAGAGACCACTTCCCAAGCTCGAATCTGAACATGATGTCCTCATTGCCATAAACTATACCGGTATCTGTGGATCTGATGTTCACTATTGGGTTGAAGGAGCTATCGGTCCCTATGTTGTGAAAGATCCCATGATTCTTGGCCACGAATCTGCTGGTACAATTGTTAGTGTTGGTTCCGCAGTCAAAAGTCTGAAGGTTGGAGATCGTATTGCCCTTGAGCCTGGTTATCCATGTCGTCGTTGTCCAGCTTGTCTTTCGGGTCATTACAATCTGTGCCCCGACATGCACTTTGCAGCTACCCCTCCCATCGATGGTACCCTCACAGGATTCTATTCTTCTCCAGCGGATTTCTGTTACAAACTTCCTGAACATGTATCGCTTCAAGAAGGTGCTTTACTTGAGCCTCTCGCTGTCGCAGTCCACATTTGCAAACAAGCCGTTATTACCCCAGGACAATCTGTCGTGGTAATGGGAGCAGGTCCAGTTGGTCTATTATGTATGGCAGTTGCTCGTGCATACGGAGCATCCATCATCGTCGCAGCAGATATCCAACCTAGCCGTCTCGAATTCGCGAAATCATATGCCGCTACCCACACTTTTACTCCTCAACGCGTCTCCGCTGCAGAGAACGCCGCAAACTTGAAATCTGAAATTGGACTTCCAGAGGGCGCAGATGTTGTTATAGATGCCAGTGGAGCAGAGCCCTCCATTCAAACCTCTATAAATGTCGTACGTCGCGGAGGAACATATGTTCAAGGAGGAATGGGCAAAGCAGACATCAATTTCCCAATCATGGAATTGTGCACCAAGGAAATCGCTGCAAAGGGAAGTTTCAGATATGGAAGTGGTGATTATACATTGGCTCTTCAACTAGTTAGTACAGGGAAGGTAGATGTCAAGAAGTTGATCACTGGCGAAGTGCAATTTGAGGATGCGGAGCAGGCTTTCAAGAGTGTAAAGGAAGGAAAGGGAATAAAAGTCTTGATTAAGGGTCCCAATGAAAAGTAAATGTTATGGATTGAGCATATTGTAGCGTAGGAGTCGGAGTACGAAGAGTGTAAGTGTTTTGGGAAATGAAGGAGCATAGACGATGAGGGGTCAGGATATCCCGTCTGAAGTGCCAAAAATGAAAATAGGGGGAATCTTGTTCTTGGAAAGTGTATCTATTGTATATAATTAACTGAATGAATATATGTCCTCTGTAAGATTACTAGTATGGCTGTTCATCTAAACTTCTCTTGGGCTGCGTTGTGAATGCTTAGGGTGTTTGGATGGGGCTCAGGTACAACTGTCCGAAAACAATACTTCACGCTTTCAGCTTACGAGGGATGAATGTACTTGCATTATTTGAATGCATCTACTACCAAGAACTAAGATATAAGATTATGGGAAGACAGATCTTTGAATTTAATCTATTTCATAAACGAATTCCTACCTTGCGCCGATTCATCATAAAAATCCTCATATGATCATCACTGCGATGCTAGGAAACAACATTTACACATCCTCTCAGCAGAAAAGCAGAAAGAAACCTCGCAGAAGAAACCCAGAAAAAGGGTCTCCCCAAACCCCTTAAATCATCCCCAAATACCTGACTCCAATCTTCGTATCCGCCTTCGCACCCTTAACTCCCACTTTAACCATCTCACCCGGCACCACATCCACCAGATTATCCTCAAACACCACCTCTTCATCTTCACACTCGAGCGCTACCCCCTTCACCGGAACCTCGCTGCTAATCTCCACCGTCTTCACATCTTCCGACAACTCAGCCCGCAAATCCGTGGGTTTTTGCAAATGTACGTATTTTAGCGGTTCGGGCCAATTGATGTAGCGAGCGATTTGCACACCGTCTTGGATGAGATATGCGGCGACCACGGTGCGTGATTCTTCGTCCGAATTGGGGGTTTGCACGGGGACATCCATGGCGATGATTTCTGTAGAGCGATTTTCGGGTAGGAGGAGAGAGGAGGCGATGGTTTTGGAGTAGGTTTCTTGACCGGTGATCACGTCGAATGCTTTGACGAGGACGTCTGCTGTGATGTCTTCGAGAACTAGGTTTGAGCCCCAGATTTCGATTTGGGTTTTCTTGGTGAGATGGGCACGGGTGTATTTATCCTTGGGGGTGATATGTTCTTTGCGCGTGATACCTAGAGAAATCGGTGCCATTTCACGTTTGACGGTATAGTAGGCATGTTTTGGACGGAGATAGTAGTCGACAATTGCCCAGGATGTGACCGGCCAGCAATCATTGATTTGCCATACTAATGCACCCCCGCAGTATTCCCTACTAGGACCTTTCCATTGGCGTTTCCACAATCGATAGGCACTAGCTAGACACTCAGCTTGCATGAGCTGGGTGGAGTAGATGAATTGCTCGAGGGGGTCAGGAGCGTAGCGGAAATTCTCGACGAGATAAAGAGCGATACGGCGCTCGTGGCCGTCGGCTTTGTTGTGGAAATCGACGGTGGAGGATTGGGCGAAACGGTCGGGATCGTCTTTTCCCAGTGGAAGAAATGCTTCGATAGTTTTGATATTTGGGAATGCTTCCATGCCGAATTCTGAGACGAAGCGTCCAACGAGCTTATCGAAATTCTGATACTTTTCTTGAGAACCATGCCATACATTCCACTGATGTAAATCACCAACGGTAGGATCAGTGGTTTGTTTTCCACCCCATGGACTACCATAGTGATAGTATGTGTCTGGAATTAGTTCGGTGCAGGCATCGACTAAAATCTTCTCATATATATACCTTGCTGGAAAATTGGTCTTCAACCAACTCTCGGAATCCTTGTTGTCAAAGTCGTAAGTGAGACCTTCCGATTCTTGGTATTGGTAATCTTCATTATTACCAGCCCAGATAACGATAGATGGATGATGTCGAAGGAGCCTGACATTCTCCTCGGCTTCTCTCTTGACGGAAGTGAGGAAGTCTGGGAAAGCAGGATAGTTTCCACAACCGAACATGAAATCTTGCCATACCAGAATGCCTAATTCATCGCATGCATCATAAAAGGCTTGCTCCTCAAATATTCCACCGCCCCAAACTCGAATCATGAACTGATTTCCGTCTGCTACCAGCTTAACCCAATCATAATACTTTTCTTTGCTGATGCGGGGAATGAAGTTGTCGGCTGGAATCCAGTCACTGCCACCGCAGAATATTGGGATGTTATTGATTCTGAAAAAGAACGATGTTCCTGGCTGGTCTTTCAGAGGGTCTTGCACTAGCTCTGCTCTACGCAAGCCAAACTTCTTACTTTGCGTTGATATACTCTTGTCATTGTGAATTAAAGTTGCCGTAAGGTCATACAATGGCTGTTTACCATATCTGATCGGAAACCATAATGCTGGATCTTTGATAGTAAAGGCATGGGTAGCATGTCCTTCAGAAGAAGCAACTGTCTTACTTGCAACAAGCTCGCCGTCTAATGTAATATCGAACTTAACTTGTGATGCTTCACCCTGAACATCCGCCTTCGCAACTAGTTCAGCAGTTTTCAAGGATTTGTCAACATTACTTGTGAAATAGACGTCCGAGATGCGGGATGTGAAAATTTCAAGGTTTATTGGTCGCCAAGGCCCACAAGTCATAAGGGTTGGGCCCCAATCCCATCCCTATATGAGGTCAAATATTAGCGATTTATAATTCTTCTCCATACAAGGAGACATTTACATACCCAGTGATATTGTGCTTTCCGAACAGCAAGTCTAGAAGTGTCTCCGTTCCAACAGCCCCAATGATGATCCGGATATTTCTCCACTATGGCACATCCTTTGAGATATGCGCTCTCGAATGTGATTTCTAGTTCATTTTCTCCCCCATCTTTTAGGTGAGATGTGATATCAATTCTTTCAGGTATGAACATGTTATCCGTCTTGAGAATCTCCTTTCCATTCAATAGAACGGTGGCATAAGTATCTAATCCATCGAATGCCAGGACTGCTTGGGTGCCAGATTTGTCTTCCGATGATATCGCGGGCGATGAAAATGTTGTTCTGTATATCCAGACAGTCTCACCAATCCATTGGACGTCGTTTTCGTTCTTTCCCATGAAAGGATCTTCTATGATGCCATTGGAAATGAGATCCAAATGAACATTCGTGGGAAACTGTGCGACAGGGAGAAATTTGGAATCTTCATTGTCCGCCTGTTTAAAGGTCCAATTCTTATCGATTGGAATTATGGTATGCTCAGGCATACTCGATGAAGTTGATGTAGATGCAGTTTGATGTGAATTGATATTAGAAAAGGTATGGTCTGTACGCATTGTCGAAGGGGGGCATAAGTATGTTATAGAGGAGTTGGCATGCGGATGAAATGATCTTTCAGCAACATCAAAGGAATAAGGCACTTCTTATATCTGAGCCTTGGTTAGTTCATTGGTTTAGGTAGCAAGTAGCAAGTCCAAGAAGTATTGTAAATCCATGGATCCCATATGTGAGGTTTCGGAGCTCCAAAATGGGATTATTACATGCGGGGTCTTCATCCCGCGTTTGACAAAGATTGGGTACTAAGTTGTCTTCTAGGATAAGAAGGAAGGGATGATAGCTCTTGCGGCCAATACTGCCCAATCTGATTGGTCGTCTTCACACTTTTGCAACATCTTCGCAGAACTAGGGACACTTGGGGAATCCATTTATTCTGCATGTACGGAGAAGAAACGAGCAGTTGTGATCATTCAACAATGTTAGATTGACGATTGGTAATTAAGTTGACGAATCAAGGAAGCCATTCGGACTAACTTCGGAACATAACCTCGGAAGGAGCAAAACAACTTGGAAGTTATTCTAGAATGCCGAGCATCATGACATCCGTGTCGATAAAACATACTATAGTCGAATATCTGCGATGCCACAACTCCTGGTAGATTCCTCGATGTCGCTGTCGCTCAGCCAAATACCTAGGTAGGTATGTACTGTAACAAGCACCTCGGCAGGGCTTTCCAAGGACGACTTTCCAGGATACTGCAACATCAAACCCCAAGCATTAAAACGCCGTACCTGCAGAACGACGCTGGACTTGTCAGAAAGTTTTGGAAATTGTGATGTTGATTGGCGATAGCATCAAGAGCACATGGCAGCCTCAAGAAACTACTAGTGTAACCTCAACCTTAAACGTTTGATAAGCCATTCATCTACTTTACCCGTTTTGCTTTCTGGGTCCTGATGTGATGTAGTGAAATATCACAATCTCAAAGTTTATACTGTAGAGGCTTTTGCACTTCCCAATATATCTGTTTACATCCAATTTTCTTGTACTAATCGTCCAAATATGATCCTATCGGACAGTTTCGGCAAAGTACCCTTGTAACAGGGCTCGTCGGCTGTCCAAAATAAGGGTTCGGAAGCAGTCCCTCCGCATTTTGCATGGGAAGAGAACCTATGCAACAGCTCAAAGTGGTGATGGTAAATAATGCACGTCACAAGTATGGGCAAGAATTTTGTTCAGGTAGCTCAGATTTGCCGGTGCCCCTTGAATCTAATTAAATCTCAAGGGCTTAAAAACGACTCTATTCCCCGACTCGTGACGGTGCCTATCTATATCTGCCGCAACCGGCGTACTACGGAGTATATATATGCGCGACATGCAATGAGGTTTCATTCATTATTGAACGTGTTTAACCCGACGGATCTATGCACCGCTTCCGCATCGATGGAACCACATATCTTGCATTCACTTGTTGACAAAACAGTTTCATTGTTGCATCGGTTTTACTACGCATGCATGCCATAAAGATTGCCATTTTCAGAGAGCACTTTCAACGGCAATTACATAATCTTCCCTGACTATAACAGTGCCTTTCTATTCTCTCCATATTTTTCTTTTGCCAGTTCTTAGCCTGAATTCGTCGGATCCATCATAAGTTAGTCCCCGAAGTTTCGGATCTAGTTTATCAAATAGGTACTATCCACTCGTATATCAAACGGCAGAAATTACTCCCTTTGCATGCAATGTCTCCTCAATATTCTATTTTGTTTTGTAAACCACATTCGGCAACTTCTTTCTAAGATGATTGTACAAAATGGTTTAGGGTGACCACTATCACAAGCGTTTAAGGCTATGGCGGATGCTATGTAGCATTGTTTAATACGAGATATGTATGACTTGCCTTAAATGTCCCGCATCAGACCCTCAGAAACAGGTTGTATGCTTACTCTGTTGCCATTCTGAGGTAATAGACTAACACCTATTGCTTCTTGCTGGGATATTTGCGCTCTATCAACCGAGAATGGTGCTCATGTGGTCTCTATACTACCATTTCTAGGAGGGAGGAGAGTAGCAAAGAAAGATTGGAATTTGTCAACCCCCCCTCCCCCCTAATAATATTCTATCTCATGCTCTGAGAAAAACGACATTATGTTATTTCCCGATCAACCCCCTCTATCTATTTGATTGTTCACTGTTGGCGACGACCATTTCTCATGGATGAAAGACTCTTGACTCAATATTGTATGCACCTTTCTTTACTTCTGGTTCTTAAGAATAAGGAAAACGAACAACCTCGGTAAATCTCAAGAAGTATACTATCGAAGCCAAAACTCGACTTACTAAGTCAAGATCCGATACCCAACAAGAAGCAGTGAAGCCATCATCTTCAAACGGGTTTCCATGTGATATAGTAAATCCTATTTCAGTTCTAATCACAGTTGCAGTAGATAAAATCAAAGAAGAGCTGTTCTTCCGGCCTTCTTCAAACATCTCTCGTTGTGTTGACTGACCATCATCAGTCAAGAATATGAGATCCACCGTGATTGTGCCAACATGTACAATTTCGAAATAATAACCCTGAACCAAACACTCTGTCAGCAGTTAAACGTATCGGTTTGCTTCTCTTTTACTCCAATGGAAATCACCTGCGATCATAATACTCAAACAGCCTACCAGTGATAAGCAAGCATTCTAGATAAATTCATCAGTCCGATCAGTCGAACTCAAGATGAACTTACCTTGAAACATGGGTTTAGTTCCTTGGGTGTACTATCTATTTGGGAGCTGATAGACATTTACCTACTTGTCAAGAGCGTAGCAAAGATAAAGTATAGGCTAAATAAGTTTGACGATTTTCTTTTGCCTGTCCTTTCCAGGATATGATATGAATGTGATAACATCTTACCAGTACTTCTGAACATAGATCTGTAGAATTAATTGTCGATCTTTAAGTATACTAAGATTCACAATCTGCAGATGATGAATATTCATGAGGCATGTTATTCAATTCTAACTAACCTTCAATTCTTAAAAGAATGAAGAGAATCTTCCACCTCAACACTCTTACCAAGCAACAAACCAACCACCTACTTGTCTTGTGTCTGCGTCAGAGATGGGCCCCTGCCAGAAACCTCCCCTCCATACTAGGTATCTTCTTTGCTCAACTGACATTGACAGGGTATATCATCTTCGCTCTCTGAATCTGAAGAAGGATAGATATAACTATCGTCATCACTATCGAGGCCACGAGAAGCACAACACGTTACACAGAGACAACTGCAGTCATCCGCAGGAACCTTAGGCGTCGCCATCTCACTAGCACTATAGGTCGTCGTGGCGTACGTGGAATCCTCGTTTCCAACTGCAGGACCATTCTTCCATGGATTCGTTGTTGTCCCACATGCGAGGTATTCGGTGCCGGTATTAGGGTGAACTGGACAGTGTCAGAGGTCTTCACTCTCATCTTCCTCGCTACTCTCGTCGCAATTAGGACAATACACCTCCCGGATTTCGGGAGTTTCCTCGTCAGAATCCTCATAGCCATCAAGTTCCATACGAATTTGGCTTTTTCTTTCTTGCATCGCAACAAAAGCTACCATCAAGTTCATATCTAGCATGTAAAGACAATCAAGTTGAGTACGTAAAACGTCGCTTTTGTCGACACAGATTTCAGACCAGATGCTTAGATATTCATCGAGAATGGAGGACATAGTGTGCATTTTATTCTCCTCAAATGGAAAGACTGCGCGGCGGAGAAAATTAAGTGTAGCTGCCATAAACATAACCAATTTTTCGGGATCATCGCGAAGAACTGGGAATTGACATTGACGATTTTGTGCATCAGAGTTTGGATCCTCGGAATCTGATACTCTTTTTTCCATGATTGTGACGGGAAGTGTGACGCTCGAGGTTGTGTATTTGGGTCTCTGTTGGGTTTCCATGGCGGGTTGAACATTGTCAAGAGTCTGGATTTATTTCCGTATGGAGGCTGATGGGTAATGGCAATGACCAAAGCAACAAATTATATGATTGGAAGACGTCAAGCATATTTATCCTGGGATAAAAGCTTGGAAACTTCTACTAAACATCAACAATTCTCTAGACGCGCCTCAATATGACCAGCAAGCAGAAAACAATCTCGTAGAATGTAGATTTGACTTCCGCCATTTGGTTTTGAATCCGCACAAAGCTATTGAAACACCATGGACAACCTCAAAGTTACAAGACGTGAATGGAAAAGACTCGAATTCACGGAAATGAAACAAGTCAGTGCTATAAAAGGGCTCGAAGGGAGAGTGCGTGCAGAGTTTGTCCTCAAGGTTGCGTTGATATGACTGTTCGCTTTACACTTATTATGAAGTTTGCAACTCCGCTACCACAGATGCGACATTAAAGATAGTTTTCAAGAAGCTCACTGTGCTATCTACATGAAGGTAAATGCCCCTGTTTCAACTTTAAACAAACGGATATATGATTGCATTCCTCAGGGTAGAGATGCCGATGTGAATAATGTTTCAGATACCGCGAGAAGATCGTTGTGCCGAGGTTCTTGCGAAAGGATTTTGCAGGAGGTCTTTGTTGTACTTAGTTGGTCTATATAATCACATGCTCATTGTGATGTTAGCGTGATACAGTTTTTTCGATACTTTTGACGATGGGGGGGCTTTTCGCTCCCTTCCTCTCGTGAAGGAAAGAAAATGATGAGAAAAAAAGTAGGAAAAGAAAGGGAACGGATTCTAGAACAATATATAAAGTGCATACAGCATAATCATATACTAAATCAGATTGTAAATTTATATTGCGCAATGTAGTTCTGTATAGCGTATTGGTGCTGTACAAATACATTACTTAAGGCTCTTTGATATCAGAGGAGAGAGTATTATCCCGCCCTTTTCTCCTAGCGAATCAAAGAGGTAATGAATGCAAGAAGAGAAGAGAAAGAAGCGGGGGGATTATACTAAAGATATGCTATTAATCTACGTACGCGACGCGCATTACAATGGTCCAAAAGCGCCAGTCTTTGTGCTCACATAGTCTATTGCGTAAAGGAAGTGATTGACTGACCCAAATATCGTAGGTAGAGTCTGAGTACTCAAGTAGCTTGATTGTCCGATTCATTGTGAAAATTGGAATGATGTGTGTTCAACACTTTGAAGTGACCAGATTCCCCATCTTTGACCGAACTTGGTCTAGAGATCCAATAAGCACCTTGCCAAATCAACAAGATCATTCAATTCAATCATCGATCCGTAAACGTAAGATCTCGACCCACACGAGATTGAGTTATTCCCGACGTTGTGGTTTGATTTGGATTATATCCATGTATGCTTCCCCTGCTTATCATCCTGATAGACATATTGAATCTAGTTCAATTTCAGGGATTCTTAATCCATGGATGCCATGCGATAAAATGGGGTCGATTAAGAACAAACTATTGTCCAAAATCTCCACCGTGATAGGATTCGACAGCCTTTACGAGTGCAATTGCGAGCTCAAGCCGTGCAAGTGCAACTTCGTATCTTTGTCATTGACTGAGCATGAAATATACTTCAGAAAGAGATTGAAAGATCGAGGCAAGTTCAGGGACCGCTGTACTTCCCGAAAAGCTGATGTTGTCGAATTTTTCGGTCCTTGGTCTCGAGAAATATTGGAGAGTCCGTTATTCCCTCACTTGGCACATGATAATATGAGGTCACACACCTAAGCGGTGATAAGGTCGATTGGAGAAGTAAATGCAAAGGCAAGGGCGAGAAACAAGGGTTGATGACTTGGATGCATCTGGCATTCTCGTGTTTGTTCCGCTACTGCGAGTAACGAGAGTGAGCTCATGTAGGTTAATGTACCTACCTAGGCAAGAGTTAGCTGATGGGCTGAAATGCGTACCGCGGAGTGAAAAAAGAATCGATCACGTGTCAGAGCAAGATTTGCCGATTAACCATGAGCTCATCTTCCCTCCAATCACGAATCTTCAATTTTCACAACGATGCCATTCACGGACAAACATTTGTTACATTAACCCCACAAACATTCGAGCCCCAGCAAAAGATGCCTGACTGTACTCGTTGCCTGCTTCTGTGCCACCGGAGAATTTTGTCGTTAGGCAGAAGTCAATATCACAGATAGCACGCTACTGATTATATCGTTCATTTCCATTCGTTGATTCGGTCCCATCACTATCTTCTCACTAGATTGTTAGAGATATCACAGCCCGCGATTAACCATCCGAGCCATCATGTAGGTGTGAATATCGATGTCCTCTATATTCTCGATACTCTACCACTATCGAATTCAAATCAGATACAGTCAGATCTTAGAGCCCGCTCTTGCCTGACTTCCGCTACATCGAAATGCTCGGTGCTTACAACGTTGCACTCATGAATTGTAAGACATTGCGACATGCCAAGCACATGCGATCGGTAGTCGGAAGTTAGAACAAGCTTTTCCAAGCCTTTTCTACAAGTTGTAGATAACTTTTTGGCTGGCGCGCGCAGAAAAGAACGAAACTTAAGATGACCAGGTCGAAGGAATGGTAAGTGGTGATATCAGCATGCAGTTTGATGAGACTTATCTCCCGTTAGAAGCCACCGTCTTGAATAGGAAGGTGTGCATGCCGCCATGCTTTGACCCCGGAAAGTATTATCAACATGATAAACTATTGGCCGCTTTCCGAAGCTTTCAAACTTTATTTACGAAATTGTGTCAAATCATCAAGTTTTGGCGAACTTCATCAATCATTCTAGAAAGCGAGTTATCCAATGGTAATTCATTGCGATCGCAATTCTTGGCCTTTCTTCAAACCCTTGGGTATTATGGTCCTTGTCGTTGGTGGAATACTTACTGGTTGCATCAAATGCAGTAATAATTTAGTTGATACTTGTCTGCATGATCATCATGTTAGCTACTTGAAGAAGGTGTGAACGAAGCGCCACTTCTACCCCTCCCATGCATGTTTTTCGATTGAGTTATTTGATATTTATATACTCTCTCTTCCCGTCACATTGGGCTAATTCTCGTTCATTCATTATTTTAATTTTACAGCAAGTCTTGGAGAAGATCCGCTTGACTCGATCTCCTCATATATTGCCCAGCATGACTACACCCATGGCAAATCTCGCCTTGGAAGGTGGTGATCCGCGAGATCCTCATCATCCCATGACAGGTGATGCGAAGGCCACGGAACTGGCGTTGCCTTCAATCCACGACCCCAGTATTACTTTTGAAGAATATGTATATTGGGCCGAAATCACTCGTGCTGAGGAGAAAATTGCAAATGAGAGGTTTGTTGCGGCTCAAGGACCGAGAAATTGGAAATCCACGATCACAAATCGATTCTCCACAGGAAAGGGTGCAAAAGATTCATTTGACACCCCGCCTACAACAACCTTAGCTTCCAATGAAAAGGACGGCCTCGACGAGAAGTCTGCGGTTCCTGGTGGACCAGTACAATCGGCTGTTTCGGAGGCTGAGTGGAAGACAGCGAGTCGTGCTGTCCGTACCGCTGGTTGGTCAGGTGTCTTTTATCTCATCACGACTGATATCCTTGGACCTTTCAGTGTTCCTTGGGCCTTTGCTCAAATGGGCTGTAAGTTCATAAATATCCAAGCATTAAGAACAGTACTAATACAAGTCCAGATGGACCAGGAATTGCTCTCTATACTGTGTTCGGCGGATTTGCTTTATACTCCGGCTGGCAAATCTTCAACATCTTTCTTGCTCTTGACTCGGATAAATATCCTGCAAAGTCGTATGCTGACCTATTCTTCCGTGTTTTTGGCACTTGGGCACGTCATGGTATCAATGTCGCCCAGTGTATCCAACTGTTGTTCACTGTATCTATCCTTATTCTCTCCAACGGTCAATCCATTTCACAAATCGCCAAAGGAAATCTATGCTTTATTGTTTGTCTGATAGTTTTCATGGCTGCTGGTATGATCTTAGGACAAATTCGTACGCTTCAAAGATTCGGCTGGCTCGCAAACTTCGCAGTTTGGATCAACATCCTCATCATTTTCATCTGTATGGGTGTCGTAGCCAATTCGCCTCCTAATTATGCTACAGTTCAAGCTAGTTTTGGAGATTCATTCACGGGTCCTGTCGTGAGGTACGGTGGTACTCCGCCCAGTGGTAAAGCAACAGGAGGAGATGGATTCACCGGCTCTCTGAATGGACTTAACCAAGCTGTCTACTCATATGGTGGTGCTATGCTTTTCGTTGCTTTCCTTGCCGAAATGCGACATCCAATGGATTTCTGGAAAGGTCTTATCTGTGCTGATCTATTCATCTACCTTGTGTACATGTTCTTCGGTATCTTCGTTTATTCTTACCAAGGTCAATATTCGTACAATCCCGTCATCCAAGGTCTCTCGCCCTACAACTGGCAAACCGCAGCAAACATCATGAATCTGATCACTGGTCTTATTGCCGCCGTACTTTACGGTAACATTGGTATTAAAGTGGCATACATTGAAGTTTTTCAAGGTCTTTTCAACGCACCACCTTTGACCACGAAATCCGGTAAAATTCTTTGGATTACAATGGTGCCTCTATACTGGGTAATCGCTTTCGTTGTCTGCGCTGCCATCCCTCAATTCTCTTACATTTCTGGTCTCGTGGGTGCGCTCTTTATCCTCCAATTCACATACACATTCCCCGCTATTCTCGGGTTTGGATATCAGATTCAAAAAGATGCTATGCTTCCAGGAGAAGAGTCATTTGATCCTACAACTGGAACGTATAATTATATTGATACAGGTGTCAAGAGATGGATTAGAGGATTCAAGGCTAATTGGTTGTTCAACACCTTTAACCTCATTTACTTCCTTGGGGCTTTGACAACCGCGGCATTAGGTATATATACTAGTTGTCTTGGCTTGATGAGTGCTTTTAATGGGGATAGTGTCGCAACTAGTTTTGGTTGCACACCACCTGTTTAGGTGCGTGGAATCTTTGATTAACGAATAGAGTTGGTGGTTGGAGTTGCGCAGGTAGATCAACTTGAAGCGGGAAAGCATGGTGAAATCAAGACGTGTGACGCCCAAGGGTGGAAAGGGAATCTAAAGTGTCTATGAGAGGCATTGAGTCATATTCTGCTGTAAGAGCAATTCTTCAGGGACAAGTGATGTTAGTCGTATGAAGATCTAGTGGAGCTAGGTACTTTTGTTTAATCCTACCATCACATTTTAATACATTAATTTTGCTATATGACAAGTCAACGTAGTACGTTTAAATTCATCTCGACACTCTGATTTATTTCAATGTTCAACTACAGGTCAACATTTCAATTTATCTCAGCATATCAATTCATTTCAATGTTCAAATCTGATTCAGTATTCTAGTTCAGCTCAATATTTGAATTTGTTTCAATGTCTGAATTCATTTCTATATTCCCATTCATTTCAGCACTCAAATTCAATTTAGTATTTCATTTCATTTAAGATTTGAATTCATTTCAGCATTCAAACTCATTTCAGTATTTGAATTATTTTCGATCTCTTGGAAATCAAGAAGTTTAGATTCGGTCTACGAGAGACTTGCTTATACACCATTCAACTCGATCGAAATTTGCCCTCTGCTTGTGATGATTTAAGAATTTTGTGACTGGTTCCATGAGATGTGCATCGTGGGTGTCATGGTAATACCACCACTATATCTCTTCCAAGCCACGATAAACAATACATCTGTTCAAGGCCTCCCATCCTTCTACACTCCCACTCCCATTATATTATCCACCTTTTCATCCCCATTCATAAGCCTTAAAGTAGATTACTCCACTGTTCCCACTAAAACAGAAACTAAATTCCCCCGTCAAAGTCCCACTATTTGGACGATCTACTCCACATTGCAAACCTTATGTTCACTGCTCACTATTTACCATTTGCATCTCCAGACTTTAGACTGCAATATGAATATGTAGCTGACAGTACAAGTAAGAGGAAAGCGAGTGGGGAGATAGAGTGAGGTGTGAGACTGATTAATTCATGGTATGGTATTGTTTGGAGGGAAGAAAGTGAGGAAAGAAAGGAGGAAATCTAGAAATCGAAGAGATAATGTATTACATATAACGACTACACATAGGAAACAAAACTGAATGATAGACTGGTAATTGTAAGTTCAAAAAGCACCTGGGCATCAAAGATGATACTTATTAGTATATATAAATCACATGACGAAATATGGTTATTGACGAATTCGGCTTAGTGGAACATTCGAGAACCAACACATTATATCGATATCTTCGTCGACGGAATTTCCTTTCTTCCTTAGGCGTTACCAAAATCAAATTTCCCACCTAACTCTTCTTCATTATATTATTATCGTCTCTATTCTTATCATTTCAATCTTTCAATCAATCGCTATTGTATTTACTGGCCGAGTCTACAGTAGAATCGTAGTTAATAGTGAAAAGCCCCAAAGTATTTAGGGGAACTTTCACGCGCGCCTCCTACGATGGATCTACAATTACGAGGCAGTAATTTTATATGTAGCATCGAGTTTACTTTCATTCGAAAATGTTTAAACTCTCTCACCATGATTCTCAAGCTCTCGGCTTTGCTAGTATTTTGAAAGTCACTTTTGGCGTGCCTTTGAGATCAATTATCCTGTCTGGAGCTTCCCTAGTTCATTGATCTGATTTGAATCAAAAACAAAACACAGTCGTCGCCTTAGTTTCTCCTCACAAACTTCTCACAAAGTCCACAAAGTTCAAGTTCGACATACTTGATTTCTTCTCATTCGTTACCTACATTTCCACAATTAAAAGACCTGGTACCTGCAATCTCTTGATTTGGCAATCAAAATGTCGGATATCATCGAGAACGAAGAGCCCATCGAAGAAAAACAACAAGTTGGCATTAAGCTTAAGGAGCCTAGAGGGAAAGTCCGAATCGATCCATTCCAACAGAAATTGAAGGAGATCGTAGTATGGGGTAAGTCAAGAATCTGTTCCTTTCAATCTTAATCTTTGATTTTCGAAACAAATGCTGACAATTCTTCGATCTAGCTATGTACAATGATGGCGCTGTCGGCGATCTTGCTCGATCAAATTTGAAGGGATACGACGGATTGAGCTCTGCGACACAGACTTTACAATTGCGAGTTGAAGAATCAAGCATTCTTTCAAGTCGTAAGTACTCTCATCTAAATTGTGTTTGATTGTGGTGGCTAATAGTTTTTCAGTCGTTTTCCATCAAAGTATCGCAATCTCGAAGAATCCAGGTAGTCCTTCTTTTACACTACGTACATCCATTCCGATGACGGCAATCACAGACTACAAATTCAGAGTCGCAGATGTGAAGAACATTTCAGAAGCCATGGTCAAGGCTGTACCAAATGACTGGTATTACAAAGGCTACGGCATTATTTCATTCAATGCAAATTACGTTCATCTAAGCGTATTCGAAGATGAAATACCTCCAACTGTGGTTCCAAATGCTGCAGAAGAGCTCAAGAAATATGCAAGACGCATGCAATCTGCTAAAACTACTCTTCACTACTTCGAGTTCATTGTTAAGTCCAAATATGTTGAAGATATGCACTTTCTTAAGCGGGTACATGCAGCTTGGGAGACGGAAAACGAATCAAATCCATATTACAAATGGATCAGAAACAATTCTCAACAACAGCAATTGGGACATGGAAATTTGCTTGCTCCTGGTGATCGACCAGCTTTTTCAAAAGCCGGCTTAGTTTTGGCACTAGCTGATTTTTGGCAATCCAAACTGCAATACCAAGTTCATTTGACCTATGGTTACACTATTGAGAATGCATTTGAGATGGCCAATGTGGAAGCTTGGCAGAGAACAGTCCTTCATGCATCTATGATTGACTTACCCGGCTCTCAAAATTACAAAGACAACGATAATGATAATGACTTGCCGAAGTTATACTCATTAACAATGGCTATTCATAACATGGAGGTAGATATGCCGAGCATTGGTGAGGTATATAGTATCAAATTTTTGGATTTGATTTCCACCACCATGTCATGTGGCCGACGTTGAAGTTGTTGACGAATCCGACAATGCAGATACCGATTCGGAGGATGATGGTGATGATTACTTCAAGCCTAGAAAATCCGTCAAGCAAAACCGTACTGACAGTCAAGAGCAACTCGAGGAAATGGTGGAGGAGCAAGCAAGAGTATGGCGTGGACAAGTCGTCTCGGTTTTGGACGGTTTGATTGAAATTGTCATCACCAGGCCTTCCGATTCTAGATGGAAGGGATCAAAAGACTTACAACAACGAGTCAACACACAAATTCCGACGCACCCCCACCGTTTGAGATATACCTCTCACTACAAGGAAGAATTTGAAGTTGCAGCCAAACATCGAGTAAAGGTGGTACCACAGCTATCATCCAGGGTTTACAAGGACTGTAAGTTTTCCCACATGACATATTGAGCGTTACACTGACGAATTGATTCTAGTGATCAAGGGAATTCAAGCTTTCTGTAATGTTAAGCATACACCTGAATTTATCTCCAGTGATGTTCATGCACATTTGTGTGAAGTGTTGGTCACTAGAACGCACAGAACTACTTTCTATGGGAAGAAGTTGAAACAAGACATCTTTGGACCAAATTACAAAGAATTCATTGGCCACATGAGTACTGCTCAAAAAGCCGCTTTTGAGGAGCTCGAGATTGTGGATGGATTGGTTGTCATCAACGGATTTACCGCATCTGGTAAAACCATGTCGGCAGTATGTGTATCAGTTTGCACCGTCAATAACACTAGCTCTGAACGAAAGCAATGTGTGTTAGCGATCTCTGAGACAAACAGTGCAGTCGATTGGTTGGCTCAAGAGTTTCACCAACTTATCACAAATCCCAAAGAGCCAGTCGAAGGTCAACAACACTTAATTATTCGTTTACTTCCGCTGGAAGAAGAGATAAATGCTGTCAAGACGCTCATGATACCTAGGGGGAAATATCTCAATATTTTGGCAGACGACGAACTATTTGCTGGGTTTCTGGGACAAGTTGACGAAAATCTTTACAGACATGGTCAAAATGTTGAAGCTGCTTGTATTCAATGGAATAAGCGAAAGACAACGATGATAAAGACGCTGAATTTGACCCTTGAACAAGCCATGTGGAGAGAACTCAACAAGAGCAGAGATGTCGAAGATGGAGACTTCAAGAAGATTTTGTCACTTTTACGTCGGATTCAAAATCAACAAAAGCTTGAATTCAAGGAGAAAGCTGTCCTGAAAGATCTTCTCCAGCGCTTATGTTTGTTGACTATCAGCAAAGCGGATGTTTTTGTCTGCACTATCGCAATGGCTATCAGACCTAAGATTGCCAAGCTTCTAGGAAAGCAAGTAACACATATATTGATGAATGATGGTGCGAAGATTGGATCCGGTCACTTAATTTCAATCATAGCAAAATATCCTAAGCTCGATTTTTTGATAGTTGAGGGCGACAGATTTCAACAGATACCGTACACCAGAACCCACTTGAACCCTGAATACCCCAACCCCTTCTCCCACGCCCTCAAGGAATCCGCTTTGGAAATAGCTATGCAAATAACCTCACATAATGCTTGCTTGGTTCATCAGCATCGCATGTGGACTCGAGAACTGTGCGTTTTCTTATCTTGTCACTTTTATTCGGGGAAACTCAAAGATGGCAATGAGAAGAGGGAGAAGCCTATTGAGTTCATGTTTTGCAGTGCATTCATAAAAGACACTCTCAAGGTCCCAACCGACGATAACTTTGTCATGTTCCATATGGAGAGCAAGGATACTATCCAAAAAGTTGATACTTCACGAACAAATTAGCACCACCAAAAGGCTGCTGTGGATCTCATCAAAAAACTGATTCTCGCCGTTGATACAAGTAAATTTGCATTTGATAAGGCCAGTTTCAGCATAGAGTACCTGAGTCCATACAAAGCTCAAGTACACGAGATGAAAGTTCTTATCAAGACCTTGAGAGATGACTGAGTCAACGCAAGCACCTTCAAAACTGCCCAAGGTATCGGAAGAAATGTAGTCATCGTCGACTTTACGGGTCCAGATCGCTTGACTGATTTTGCGGATGACACGAGAGATAGTTTGGTATCTTTATCACGTCACAAACACGCACTTTTCATGATTTGCAACAGAAAATCCACATCTCCTAATTCTTATGCCACAATGCTAGAAAAGCAATTCAGCTCAAAGGTGTCGGACGAAACATCTGCTCTCTTGCCGAGTTTGCATCGGAACTAGGCGTTCTCTTCAAGATTCCAACACCAGATATTGGAAGTTGTTCCAAATGCAAAGGAGTTGGACATAACGCAAATGAATGTAAATCAAACACCACTTTCGTTTCGAAGTGCCGCAATTGTAAGTTATAATTCACTGCATGCCTTACTCAATACTAATTCGTCCATTCAGGCAACGGAGCTCACCATTACAATCACTGCCCGGATGAATCTGTTCGTCTTAACAACGTTGTCTGCAGGAGATGCCATGAAGTTGGTCATAAGGCAGTCAAGTGCGAAGCTCCCTGGTGTCCTAAGTGCTGCGTTATTGGACATGACAAGGAAGACTGTCCCCAAAAGTTATGTGTCAAGTGCAAGAAAACTGATCATTGGTTCGGTGAGAAATGTTCTCGCTATGTGGTCAAATATTGTGCCTCGTGTGGTGGTAACGATCATATGGAGAGAAATTGTCGTCAAGGCAAGACCAAAACCACTTTGCCAAAGCAGACAGGTCAATAATACTATCAGAATTAGCATTGAACTTGATGCAGTCTACCATGACGCAGATCTCTAAGATAGAGAGGAAGCTATCGAAGGTGTGGCTGTTGGTGAAGAAGTAGATGACAGCGAATTTAATGATAATACCTGCTGGCGAGGCCAATGGTGGCGGATGGAACACTGAGACTGATGTTGGCGGCAATCCTAGCACAGATTCCGCATCGTATTAACTGATCTCGAACGTTTCATTAAAGACAGTTTAGAATTTCAATTGGCTATCTTCCACAGAAAATTAAAACAACAACTTTCCCTCTAGATAGCTAGCTTAGTAGTTTCAAACAAGAAAGTTATCTTCTATACTCTTCATCCTATCTCTGGAACATCTGACAACATGTACGAAATTCAAACGCCGACATTGAAATAGCAGCTTCTCAATTCCCATCCAGAAACAGAAGAGCGAACGATGTGTAAGTACCTACCTATCGGATATTACACTCAGCCCTCCACAAGTACTACAGAATACCTAGGTAATTTCAGTTTCATGCGAGCTTGACATCTATGAGGTCTAGTATACGTACCCAATACTATCCACCAGCATTAGCAATGCAAATTCCTTCTCACCCCACCTCACCCCAACATCTACCTCTCTCCTAAACCCCCCGCTCGACTCTTCATATATATATTCAACGATCTTCAAAACCCCAGCATCAAGCTTTCCACCCCTCCGCCCTAACCCCCTCGCCCATCCATTTCCCCAACTGCCGGTCCCCAAGTCTCTAACCCGTCACCATTCATCAATAAAATCTCCACCGATAGGTATGCATACCTCAACATTCAACATGTAACATGAACGAACCGCTGAGGTGGAAACGGTCACCATACAAATCATATCCAATACAGTGCATAACGACGAGAGTTATGAAAAAGCCTACTTCCTTGTCCTACTCTACTAATGCATCCCATTGTGGGAGAAGAAGTATTTACTTCTTTACCTGATGTTACGGTATTAGTAATGTATAGGGAGCGAAAGCTTTTTCGGAGGTATGAAGACCTGTCCTGGAAATGATGTAAAGGTAGCTGCACGATTCAATGATGTAATAACGAGTTTTAAATTAGAAATTGCGTGCACGAGAAAAAAGTAATGTGAAATGCGTGCGGGATGTTTGGCTACACGAGGGAAACTCTTCAGCTTGTGTATCGGAGAAAAGAAGTGTTTGAATGAAGGATTTTGGTGCAAGATAACCCTGGTTATGGTTGGGTGTTAAAGCTGGACATAAGAAAAAGCATCATATTAGTGAAGTAAGTTGCACCACATTCAGTAGACTACTACCAAGCGTAGACCCATGGATTATGTGGCATTTGAGTAGTGGTACCCCAGAAAACATCCTAGACTTGATTTGATGATTGTTAATATGTTTCATTTATTGACATCTTAAAGATATCAATCTGCTATTTTCATCGACTCTCTCCTCCCTCCAGTAAGCGAGTCAGTCGTTTTTCAGCTAGACAGCTTCCCGCCCTTCCACTTCCCACTCCCCAGTCCCCTGACCTCGAACCTTCTAGCCGCGCTTCGTCCTCTGGCCCATCGTCATAATTTGCCAATATCTATCTGCCCCAATTTATACTTTTCTCCAATCAGTCATGCATCTTCCTACACATCCTAGTCCCGCAACATCCACAACCTTCTCATGCCAACTGAGCAACACACTCATTGAAGAACCGCTACTTTCATTCTGTGCTCCTGGTCTTCCACCTCCAATTTGTGAGAAGCCACCAGTACTTTGAGGTGTAAGTTTACTCGAGCTTGCATTTGCCTTGGATTCCATTCCCTTATATCTACCATCAAATCAAATCATTAGCATATTCTCCAAATAGTTTCCCAGCCCTACAAGGATCAAGAATGACGCACAAATATTTCATCAAACAATCCAACGCATCTCCACCCCCCTCACTAGCCATAACTCTCTTCAACAATGGCGTCATCTCGCTCGCTTTGATACTCTGCAAAACTTCCATCACAGTACCCAAATGCACCTCCTTCACGGAATCACTACTTCCATATGGAGCATTTTCAAGCGCGCCCCGAAGAGCACCCTCTGCATCTCCTCCTCGAAGCAATTGGCGTACCTGCTGAGCTAGATTACGGATATCGGCATCGGAGACAGGGGGAAACTGGGCGGAGAGAGTGGAGATATCGAAGTTGGTGGAGGAATCGGGATCAAGAGCGTCGATGTTGATGGTGCGCCAATTGTCGGAGAGAGTGGCGTTGGATACTTGCTGGATGATAGACATGGCGGAGGGATTGACGAGGGAGTATGATGGGAATGGGTTTGTGGTATTGAAGTAGCGGGGTTGTGAGCTTTGAGTGAGTTGGCGGTTTGAGGAGCTGTTGATTCCGCTAGTTGATTCTTTCGTAAGCTGTAGAGTGAAGATGAATTGCCTCTTGTTAATTCCGCTCTTCAGATTTGTGAGTCTTGAATCGTGGTCGAGTGATTGTTCTTGTAGTGAGTGTTGATTTCAATATACTTATTACTATAATGGATGGACAACGGTAAGCTCCTGAAGCCTCGCTGGAATTACATAACGCATCGGTGTTCTACGGTAGCCTCTTGGAGACCCCAATTCCCATCTACGTTCTAATTTTCAAACCACAAACGCATTTCTACCCCCTTCATCCTTCTTTGCATATTCCAGAATCGCGTTCGTTCGTTTGTCCTTACCATCCCATCTCCCTATTTATCCGCTGCAGATCTCATCACATTATTATTCAAACCCAGATCGTTATCGCGCAGAGATGCGTACCTACATGCTCCATACATATATATCACATAACACGTAAGATTTCTATCTGACTTATTACAATTCCCACACAGCTACTTACATTCCGTCCACTTCCAAGAGAAAGTAAAAATGTATATTTGGAATTTTTACCAATATATTGATTGTAGGGGAGGGATATATTTGCGAGGAGGGTATGATCGTATCTCGAACCTTTGCTTTTGCATTTATTGTTTGTACTCACTTGCTTTTTCCAAGGACAAACATTATATATATCTTGATTCGGGAGAGCTGACTCGGATACGGGAAAGTTTGTTTGTCTGAGTTTCATGAACCCTTCCCGATGAAATGTGATATATTACTTTTGGTCGAAGAGTAGTTCTAGACTTGTGTAGATCGATATGGGGAGATGAGAAAGAGGACTTGTTTTAGTTATCTTATTCTTCGCTCATTTGGTTACGTAGCTGCTGAGATCTATATCGAAGTTGGCACATGTCAACGTCATTAAGCAGAATTGGGACGGTACAAAACTCAAAGTTTTAAAGTGGTGATTTTGATTACTAAAGTTTTAATTATGAAAGACCCTAAAGCCAAAGTTTGCTCGATTGCTCCTCTGAACTCCTCGCAGAGATATCTCTTGTACAGTTCTAGGTTGGGTATATGGGTTCCACCTCCACATCACTCGTTCGTCGATCAGGAACCAGTCCGTGAAAGTAGGATGGAGAGAGCGGAGACCAATCTATCTCTTATTGCAAACAAAATAAGTCGCTGCGCAAGTACAAGCAATAGAAGTGCAAAAGCTTTGAAAGAATAATATAGAATACAAGATAATAGTGTAAGTCTTTCTTCCAAGGTACAAAGCATACAAGTCCCACCAGTTCATCAAAATTCCAAAATATTCCCATCGTGTACAAAATTCCCACGAGGCGTGCCCAATCCGCGAGGAAGATAGCAACAGACCCTTTCTTTCCAAAAACAAGTGTAACGCACCAAACGACCCAAGGAAATGGAAAATAGTACAACCAGCAAGTCTATATGCAAACCCTCGCAGAAATACCAAAGATAAAACACACAGGAGTTCTCCTAACCAACCAAACGTTTTTAATATCCCGAGCGATTCCCAATTTTTTGTCCGAACCAGTTGAAAAATAATAAAAATACAGTGCAAGTCTAAAAACGCCGAAAACCAAAGAAAACTGCCGCAGCGAAAAAGGGAAATGTAAATGTGTTGAATGAACAACGAGCCCAAGTCTAGATGCAACGCCTTCCCTATCTCCCAAAAATTTGTGTATCTGCATGTAATTCCGGAAAACTCGCAAGAAATCAGACTCCGAAGAAAAGGCTTTTTGATGGGCAGTGTGTACTGTGGATCGAGACCGCCATCCTTTCTTCCGAGCGAACTTTTGAATGTAAGGAGTGCGATTGAGGTGTCTCAGAGTCGGATAGGATTATCGAAGTCTGGAATGTAGATAAAATCGTGTGGAGAATGGATTTGGGGAGGGGTCAAAGTCGCACGCAGCACGAAAAAGGAAATTCGTCGCGAATCGTAGGCAAAATTATTATACAGAAGGGTATTGTTGACTAATATTAAAAGCATGATTTTTTCGAATAGTGTATGTTGAGAATGTTAATCAGAGTAAGAGATGTGTGAGAGCTATGTGAGAGCTATGTCGAGAATCGTGAGGTTCGAGATAGACGAAGCTGGAATCTGGGGAAGTGTAAAGGGTAACGAGTTGATGTGGAGATATCCTCTATCGGACCTAGATCCTGCGTCTCCACGAGGTCCTCTGATGGTCGTGAGCCATTTCGTGGACAATCGTGAAAGGGATGAAGGTTCATCAAGGCCATTTATTTAGGCTTTGGTGGAGGAGGGTTTGGTGAAGGTAGACCAGTAGTATCATATGCGCCGCGACCCATGTTGGAAGATGCGTTGATCCTGGTAATCATTATTATGGTGTATGTGGTTGAAGAAGGTCTAATAGCAAAAACATTCTAATTAGCATGATGGTTGAATGATATTTATATATGTATATAAAAAAGAGACGGAAGAAAATAAGATTGCCAATTCAAAAGCATGTTAAGAGACGGCCGCCATTGCGTAGTAAGAAATAAAGTATATTTTGATAAATATAGTTTTTGGGAAGTATGAGAATGAACATGGATTATATCTGACTCACGTTGCTTTTTTTGGGCTTGCGTTAACAAGGCTGTCTGTCTCCTTTAGAAGAAAAGGAGGTTAACTGGTGGACGGTTCCGTTGATGGTGTGAAGAGCTTCTTGGGTAAGCTATAAAGCTACAAAGCTATTTCCAGGGGTAAATCGCCGAGGATAAGAATCAATGTGGATGAAGATAGATGAGTGGATAAGATGACCAAAATGGCTAAATGTCGTATCGTAAATAGACTTTTCGATTTCCGAAGATGGAAGAAGAGGAATTGAAGTGATTGGAGTTCGATTGAATGAAAGTGTTATGAAAGAACTGAATGGAAATGATCGACTTGAAGTTCAAAGAGAGATGGGCGAATTGGCTGGGTATTATTGAATACTGTTCTGGTGATGTTACTCTGGGAGATGTTCGTGTTGCTTTGACTATCTGAGAACTTTGCGACGAAATCTGCGACGGTGCGGATGGGTAAGATGCTGAAGCGTTGAATCGGATAGCTGTGACTTTAATGCACAGGGTTCGTGGTCAAGTACCTAGCCGATAGGGATCTTGCGTGAACTGATGAGCCGCCGGATATCGACCTTTTGACGCCGATGAAAGCAGTGCCAATGGATGTGAGGAGGAGTAGTGTGGTAGAAGTAGTCGTCGTTCGTTCGGTGGGATTTTGTATGTATGGTACGCTGCCAAAAGTGGATAACACGAATGGAGGAATTATTATCAAAAGTAGATAGGATTGGTAGTAGTTGACAGTTGAATCGATTCAAGTCTCAAGCTGAAGGAAGAGGAGTAGTTTCTTGAGCAGGATGAGGGAGGAATCTACAGGATATTTCAATATTAATATTTTTTGATTTCTTGTGCGAAGGGGGCTTTAAGTTTGTCTTATATGATCAAAGTGATTACATGCCAGAGAGACAGGGAGTAGATCTTCTTCGGGCTCCGCCCTGGCTCAAAAGATGCTTGACGGCTGCGGGACTATGGGACCAGGGGAATACGGAAGAAAAAAAGACAAATCGAAATGAGCAAGACGCATCCCTTCCTTTGGAAAATGGGACAAAAAATGGAAAAATCAAATTTATGAAATTATGATTATGTTTCCGATTATTATGACTATGACTATGACTATGACTATAGTCTACTATACTATATTATTCGGCTATTATACTTTTCCAAACCAGCTGGGGTTCGGGGAGCGTCAACCTTGGTATGCCTAGAAGCAGGAAGGGTAATTTAGTGTCAAAGCAAGCAAGTAAAGTAACACATTAGACAGCTTAGACAGCTTAGACGAGCGTTAAAATGAACCAGAGTGAAAAAAAAAGTATGTCAATCTCGATTCTCGATATTTCGACTCTAGATGGATGTTGACCTACCTACCTATTCAAGCATTGGTATGGTTCAGACACCACAGAGCTACAAACTATCTGACACCAGTGAAGTTGAAATCAGAAAAGAAAAATATGGGGACCAAGTCAGTCAAAACTAGATCGGTCAAACTCTATGGGCATTCAGGATCATCTATTCATCTATTCATCTATTTGTCAATTTGTCATGCAAAATTCCATGCATGTTTCTGGAAGAATACGTATGTGATGGTAAGTTATTTTAACTTCGTGTTCTATGACCTCCCCGCCCCCCTTTCATGGCCGAAAAAAGCATGTTTCTATCCTTGGATAACCCTCTCGAATGCCCCCCTGCTTTAACGATCATGGTGCCTATCGAGCCTATGTACATCATCTTATTTGCTATTCCGGTGTTTATGGATAGGTACCATACATACATCGTACATATACTTACTTGTTGTACTGCAGCGGAAAAGTATAGCTGCAATGCAGCATAAGGAAGGACAATTGCAATGTAAATATGTGTGTGAGTGCACAAGGCAGACCGAATTTAGTTATTCCGAGCGAGCTCTGGGGGGAATTTCAGTTACAGTCTGTTCAATAAATCCCCGACTCGGAGCTGAATCTCTTTCCACGAGTCGTTCGATGCGTGGTAGTATTATATGTCGTAGAGTAATATTGTCAAGAAAGAAAAAGCCATTGAATTGCATAATGTCCCAGTGGTGATTCCCGAGCCCGAGGTCAAGCACCCAGCTTTTCATTTTGAGCTACACATCCGTTGCCCCCTGTGCCTCTGTGCTATCCTAGAGGCAGCACAATTTCTAGAGCCAAAGTTTTAAGGCTGTCTGGTTGTTGAAATGATTTTGGACTGAATTTCCCAGGTACCCATGACAGGTTGGAATGTTCGATGGTAGGTTGGCATGGATATGGGACCCTCGTTTTCTGCCCTGAATATTGTCCAGGTTTATACAAGGTTGGGAACGAATCGCTGGGAACTGTGACCTGCTCTTGGAA